AGGGATGGGGCAGCCACAGCTTCTCTGGGCAGCTGTGCCAGGGCCTGCCCACCCTCTCAGGCAAGAATTTATTCCCAATATCCCAGCTAACACTGATCTCTGGCAGTAGGAAGTAATTTCCCCTTGTCCTTTCACTCCAGGCCATTGTCCAAAGTCTCCTCTTGGAGCCCCTTTAGGCTCTGATGGGCTGTGAGGTCTCCCTGGAGCCTTCTCTTCTCCAGTCTGAACACCCCCAGCTCTCCCAGCCTGGCTCCAGAGCAGAGGGGCTCCACCCTCAAAACATCTCTATGGCCTCCTGTGAGCACCTGGAACATCTGAGCTGGCCTGGGAACAGAGAGCCCAGTGCTGCCCAGTGCCTCTGCACAGCCAACAAGAGTGGCAGGATTGAAACTGCCCCCATTGTTCTCCCTGGCCTTCCTCTGGCCAAAAATTTGCTTTTCCAGATCTCTCTTGATTGACATTCTCTCTGTCCCTGTTTGCTGCTATTCCCTCAAGCAGAGGGAACAAGAAGTGACACATGATGCTGGAAGATTTCAGATGATGTAAAACCCCACAAGGCCCCTCTGTGAGCCAGCACCGTGGCACCTCCAGCCCGGCTGGTGCTGACACCTGTGTGAGGCTGAGTGGGGCACAGAAATCAACTCTGCCCACAGCAACCTGCACACACTGCGGGCCTTGCTGAGACCAGGGGCACCAAGGAGTCCTGGAATATCCTGGGGTTGAAGGGACCCGCAAGGATCATCCAGGCCAACTCCTGGCCCTGCACAGACACCCCAACAACCCCATCCCATCCCTGATGGCATTGTCCAAACGCTCCTGGAGCTCTGGCAGCCTCGGGGCTGGGACCATTCCCTGGGGAGCCTGGGCAGTGTCCCACCACCCTCTGGGGAAGAACCTTTTCCTGGTGCCCAGACTAAATCCCCCTGACCCAGCTCCAGCCGTTCCCTTGAGTGCTGTCCCGGGTCCCAGGGAGCAGAGATTGGAGCTGCAGCCCCTGGGGAGCTCTGACCTCGGTCTCCTGTGCTCCAGCTGGACAGGCCATGTGCTCTCAGCTGCTCCTGTGGGCCCTTTACCATCCTCATGTCCCTCCTTTGGATGCTGTTTCTCATATTGTGGTGCCCAGACCTGCCCCCGGATAGAGGCTGGATACATGTGGCATGTCCCCTCCAAAAGCCATGCCAGGAGCAGGGTGTTTCCCTGGCATCCCCTGGGTGAAGGGCTGTGAGCAGGCAGCAGCAGCGTGATGACAGAGCTGGCTCTGCTGCAGGATGGGCACGGCAGCAGCACTTCCTTCCTTCCCTTAATTCCCTTGTTTTTGCACTGCCCTCGGAAAGCAGGTAGAGCTGCTGGCTTCATGCTGAGGGCAGGCTGCCCAGTGACAGCTTTCACTGGGGATACCTGCAGGGATGGGGCTCCAGTGCCAGGCTGGTGTCAAAAATGGTTTTGGTCCCCTGACTAAAAGTGCTGCAGTCGGTGTTTTTAGTGCTGCAGTTGCACCAGCAGTGTCCCTCAGAGGTCCCGTGTGACAGGGCCGCTTTACTGACACAAAATAGCAAAAATAAAGTGCTCTGCAATATTCTGTGTGGCTTTGGGCTGTGTGAACCAGGCCACACTGGTGCAATGAGGAGATGTGTGGGAGATCTGGTGGCAGCAGAGGAGCTGCTTCCTGGAGCTCGCAGGCACCCATCACCTCTCACTCGCTGAGCCGAGCCCTTTCACCCACCACAGGATCATGCAATGTCCTGAGCTGGAAGGGACCCACAACCATGATCAAGCTCCTGTCCCCTCAGGCCCCTCCTGCATGGGACAGCCCCAGGAATCCCACCCAGTGCCTGAGAGCATTGTCCAAATGCTCCTGGACTGCCTCCTTGTCCAAGCATTCAGCTGTGGGACAGAGGGGGCCAGGGAGGTGTCCTGGCCCAAGGACTCGGGGGTTTCCCCCTTGGCTCCAGATGCTGCAGGGCCCTGACCTTGGCTCACAAAGCCCACAGAGGGATGTGATGACTTTCCAGGGATGTGCCAAGCTTGGGAGATGCTTTGCCTCACCCCGACCCAGCCTGGAGCCCTCAGCAATGATGAGTTTAAATCCTGGTGGCAGAATGGAGCATCCCTCCATCCCTGGATCCTGGGGCTGCTCTGAGTGCTGCATGCCCCACGCCCACTGAGGTCCTGCCTTCTTTTGGAGACCAGAACCTTCCCAGGAGAAAGAGAGTTTGAATTCAAGGGGTGTCAGTGGACCAGTCTGTGATTTCTGAGTCTGTCAGCTCCAGCACCTGCAGGTCTTGTGGCACTGATTCCCCACTTACATGTTGGCTGGAAAAACCATTTTTGCTCATTTTGGAGCTGTCACAGGGTGGCACTGGAACATGATGAGCTTCCAGTCCCTTCCAACCCAAACCATTCCATGATTCCATGATTCAGTGACTGGGGTGGTACGGCTGGGCAGAGCACCTTTGGGACAGAGGCTGCTCCTGGTCCTTTTTCCTGGGAGTTTTCACTTTTCTTTGAATCTTGCCCACCAGTATGTGGCCAACAGGAGGTTTCTCCTTTTCTGGTTGTGTCTCTCCTCCTTTAGAGTGACTTTTTTGCACTCTCTAACCAAGGCCTCATAAGTTATCAAAGCCTGGAATAACTAGATTTAACCAGCTTGGCTGGGAACTTTCTATTCCTTTAGACCCTTGTGCCTTTCCCTAAGCCCTTCCAGAGTTTTTTTCCCCTAATACAGCACTGCAGAGCCCATCAGAGGGAGATGGGAGGAAAGGCACACGGAGACAGGAGTCACCTGAGACAGGGCAGGGCTCAGAGAACTCCTGCAGTGATGCTCGGATGTTTGGGAGCAGATGTTGGCAGGTGCAGGCAGCAGATCCCCCAGGAGCTCAGGGCACAGCAGTGTCCCCAGCACGGGGACAGCCACACCCACAGGGGCTGCAGGAGCAGCTCCGGCCCTGGGACACAGAAGGAGGAAGCTGCAGGAGGAATCTCCCCAAATGCTGTGAGGATCCCTGGATCCCTGGCAGTGTCCCAGGCCAGGCTGGACAGGCTTGGAGCAGCCTGGGACAGTGGAAGTGTCCCTGTCCCAGGCAGGGGGTGGCACTGGGATGATCTTTAGATCTCCTCCAAGCCAGGCCAGGCTGTGACTCTGAGATCCTATGAAATGTTGTTCCTGGATGTCTCGGCTCTCACCTTGTGGAAAACCAAGATGAAAATGACTTTCCTGCTTCCATTTCTTATCTGGTGGAGCAGTTTGCATCCAGCTGGCAGCAAACAGATCTTCGTTACCCCTGGTACAGAACCACAACCAAACCACGTTTCTCTCTCCTCCTGGGGACAGAATCCAACACTTCTCCTGTGAATGCCTGGAAAAGGCTCCTTTCACCTTGGCTGACTGAACTCCTGAGAGCTGGGACTTGAGGGTACTTGGAAACTGCCCCAGAACAGGAAAAGGTCCCAGAGATATTCCCGAGGGGTGGGAGCCTGTGGTGCCCTGAACACGGCCCCAGGCTCCGTGAGGCAGGGCTGTGCTGCCCTGGGGGCACCTCCCAGCACAGGAACCTGCGGGGTCACTGCCAGCCACGGCACCAGGCTGCCTGCCTGGCATCGGGCACTGGCCAAGCCAAACAAAAGGAAAGCAGAAAATGCTGAAGAGAAGCAGTTTCACCCCAACCCAGCACTGGCTTTAGGAGCTAGGACTGCTTGGGATCAGTCTGAGCCTGCCCAGGATGAGGGATGTGTTGTCTTGTCTGGAATTTGGCAATCCAGGAGTGCCCAAAATTAAAAGGAGAGAAAGAAAAGAGCAGGAAGCCAAAAAATGAACCAAAGTAGTTGCAAAAAAACCCCCAAAAAACCGAAACAAAAAACCAATAAAACCCCAAACCAAATCAAACCAAAACCACCCAGAGAGCCATTTTTATGAATTTTTGGTTTATTTTCTCTGTAACAAATGTGAAGGGAGAATAAATTAATTCCAAATACTCCAGAAACGCTGAAGTCTCGCAGAAGGCTGGCAGCAAAGCCAGCATGAGAAGAGCCCACCATGGCTCAGAGGCAGCACCAGGGAGCCTCAGCCCCACCTGGGCACAGGAGGGAGCAGGGACAGTCACCAGCGGCGCTGCCAGCGCCATTTAACGGGAGCTGTGCTTCCCAGGGCCACCGAAGGCTCGCCAGGACAGGCCAGTCACCCCTGCGGCCACCCAAGTGCTCCAGGAGGGCTTGGGCTGGTCCCGTCCCCTCAGTCCCGTTCTGTCCCTCAGGCCCGTTCTGTCCCTCAATCCCGTTCTGTCCCCTCAGGCCCGTTCTGTCCCCCTCAATCCCGTTCTGTCCCCCTCAATCCCGTTCTGTCCCCTCAGGCCCGTTCTGTCCCCTCAATCCCGTTCTGTCCCCCTCAGTCCCGTTCTGTCCCCTCAGTCCCGTTCTGTCCCCTCAATCCCGTTCTGTCCCCTCAGGCCGGTCCCGTCCCAAGGCCTCGGGCCCGGCTCGGCCGGGACTTCTTCCCGTCCCGTCTTCTCGCGAGAGAACGCGCTGTGGCGTCACGCGCCGCGGCGGCCGCCCCGCGCGCGCGCGCGCACTCTCTCACGCCGCCGCCGCCGTATCCTTCCGCGCGCTCCCCCTCCCCCTTCTGGAGAGTTCTGCACGGCGGCCGGCACGACAAATAGTCCCCGCAGCTCCCCGCCCTCTCCTCCCCCTCCCGCTCCTCCTCCTCCCGCCGCTCCTGTCCCGGCCTCTCCCTTCCTTCCCCTCCCCGCCACGGCGGTGTCTCCGCCCCGGGAACCGGAGCGGTGCCCGGGGGCAGTGGCGGCGGCGGCGTGGCGGAGTGATCCGCTGCGGGCGGCGCGGAGGCAGCGCATAAAGCGGCGGCGGCGGAGGGAACGGAGGAGCTGCGGCATCGCTGAGCCCGCGGCCGCCACCGCCCGACACCGGCCAGGCCCCGGCCCCGCCGCCCCGGGGGGCCCCGGTCCCCTCCCGCCCCTCCGCTCGCTTCGTCCCTCCCCGTCCCCTCCCCGCGCAGCCGCCACCTCCGCGCTCCTCCTCCTCCCCCCCTCCCCTCGCAAATAGTCCCGCGGGCCGCCCCCTCCCTCCGCCCGCGCCCCTCCTGCCGCCGCCTCGCGCACACAATGGCGCTGAAGAGAATCCACAAGGTAAGGGCCGAACCGGCCCGGCCCCGCACGGCCCCGCTCCCCGCGGCCCGTTCGCCTTACATAACCCGGCAGGGCCCCGGGCCTGCAGTGGGGGGGCGGGCAGGCCGGGCCGGGCCGGGCCCGCCCGGGTTCCCCCCGCGGGGCTCGGGCCNCGAGGCGGAGGCGGCCCCGGCAGCGGCTGCGGCTCCGCGGGGCTCGGCCCGGCCGCAGGAAGGCGCCCCGAGCAGCGCGGCGTGGCCCGCGCTGGAAGTTCCGGCGTGGCTCGTCTGGCAGCCCCGTGTCCGAGGGCTGCTCTTCCTCCTGCAGCAGCCGCAGGGATGGCGGTGTCGGGCAGCTGAGCGCAGGAAACCTGTCACACACTGCTGTGCTTTGCTCTTTTAATGGAGCCAGCGCTGTTCTACAGCCTGAGTCATCCCGCAGGCTTGTAGGGAAAGCTGCGAGCTTGCCTTCTGCTGGAGCGGGAGCTGCGCCGGGTTCCATGGCCTGGCTTTTTGGAAAAACACTGCTGCCCCGTCCATTGCTGTCTTAGGACCAATGTTTGCTTGATCATCGGCGTCTTTTACCAGGAGAAAAACCCTCGACGGTAATTGCAGTCCACTTGTACTACCTTGGTGACTCAGGCAGGGAGTTTGTATCGTTTTCCCTGCAAAACGTGTAGCTGTCAGTTTGGAATCTGTACAAGGTTCAGGTGTAGCAAGCAGCCCTTCCATAGAGTTTCTCCTCTTGATCACTATGCACATTATTTTTCACCTAGAACCAGCTGTAAACCCCCTGCCTCACAGCTCACTCTGTGCCCTGTTTGGTTCTGTGTGTAGTGTCTGGTCTGTGTTAACATCTCTGCTTTGGTTGTAGGTTACCTTGGAGGCTTTGTGAAGCTTCATGTGTCCTACTGATCAGGTTAAAGCTCAGGTGGGGAAGAAAATGGAAGAGAGCTTGAAGCCTTACTCGTGCTTGTGGAATAGGTAGCCCTGGGAAGGGAGGTGTTTGGAGTATGATTTTAGACTGTTGGGTTTTCCAGCTGTGGATCTGGTAGTGAGTTACATAAGGAAGTTGTGTTCCAGCTGAGTCTTGCTTCTCTGCAAGTGTTCTGACCCTTACTTCAGTGGTGTCAGGGCCACTGTGAGGACTCAGGACCATTGTGAGGACTCTTCCACGGTGTTTGTGGGCTCCGAGGTGCTTTGGAAGAGCTCTTACTCCTCAGCAGAGGGTTCGTCGGCCTGGGAGCCACAGCGGGGGATGCTGAATGGGGTCAGTGTGGCTGTGGGGGCTGGGCATGCATGGGCAGGGCAGGGCTGTCGTGGGGAGGGTGAATCCTGTGTGAGGGAACTCGGGAAAGCTGCTTGGTTCTAGTTCAGTGCGTGCTGAGGGTCAGGAGTCACCACTCTGAGGGCACTTGCATTTCCAGGCTGGTTTGTGACAGGAGAAAAGCTGGATGTGTGGAGTCTTTGTTAACGTTGGGTGCTTGTGGACTGACTCTTGGTGCTGCTTTTCAAGAATAAAGAACCCTGAGAGATGATGGGGACTGTGTAGGGCTATGAGAGCCTTCAAAGCCTTGGGAAGTAGCAAGAGCATCACCAAAGCAGTTTTGTGTGAGCTCTGCAAAGAGAGTTTCAGTGGTGGCTGTGGAGGAGAGGATGATGATGGGGCTGGAGGCAGCATTCCCACAAACCACACGTGGGGAGGGGATAAATGTGCCTGGTGTAGCAGCCCAGATGCTTGGGAAGCTGGATGGGCATGAAACCACAGGCTGGAAGGAGCACTCGGGCTGCTGTGGTGTCTCAGTGTGGCTGCTCAGTAATCAGGGCTGGCTGTTTACGCTGGGCTATTTTAAACCCCTGCAGAGCTCTCCTATCATCATCTCAGGCTCTCGTGGTCTCTGGGAGTGTGCAGTGGCTGTCCCTGTCAGGATAGCGAGGGGACAGCCAGTTTCTGACCTTTGCTGCTGCAGCTTGTGGCAGGAGCCTGCAGAATGTGGATTGAGTGGGAATAATCCCAGTGGACTGGAGCACAGAGACACACAGAAAACTGCCGCTTTGGCTTTTTTTTAAGGGTGTTATCAGTCATGGTATATCAGTGTGCACAGCTCAGTTTGGCCACTGGCTCTTGCTCTTGGCAGTTGGGATTTTTACTGAACCGCTTTCTATGAGGTTTTTGTCAAAATTTTTGTGTCCTCAGATAACACAGGGCTGAGAACTTGGAAAGGAGAAAATCCCAAGAGTGAAGGTTTGATACAGTGTTACCTGAAATGGCCTCTTGTCTGTTGAACTGGGCTGGGCTGGGAGAGGGGCAGAACAAGCAGGGTTGTTGTTGGTGTGTGAGGCAGCACAGGAACCTGCAGGGTCAGTCCCAGCCTGTCACTGGTGACACAGTTGCTCCTGGGATTGTGCTGGGGTAACATGTGTGCACACAGCAGCAGCTGTTCTCTGAGCAGATGCTCCAAAAGAGCTCAGGCTGGGTGAGACTGCTCTCAGATTGCTGCCTGTGTTACTCACCACAGTATTTTGGGCAGCGGGGCTCCAAATTCTTGTTTAGGTGCTTTTATTGGATCATGGGTCTGAAACCTGAAATCTTTCCTTGTGAGAAGTGTTTGGGGTGTAAGCAATACTGCCAGGCAGAGTCCTTCCAGTCAGTAACACTGAAGTATAGTAATTGAATTGGTATTTTTATATGTATGTAAAAATGGTCTATTTTGTTCTAGATGTATTTCATAAGGAAAGCAGTGAAGCAATCCAAGGGCAGGATGGGAGGAATGTACAGGAGGGCCTTCCATTTTAAGGCTTAAGCCAAAACCCTTTGGGTTCAGCCACATCCCCATCTGTGTTGGTTATCTTTAGGGAATGCAGCACCTCTGAGTGGATAACTGGGGCACCGTTTGGAGTTCTTTGAATGGGAAAGCAAGGAAAAGGTTGGCTCATTGTCTTGTACGGGCTCCCCTGTGTGATCAGGGTGAGGGGGAAGGGAAAGCAGCAGCTGTGCTCCAGCCCTGCTCAAGTAAAACATTTTCTGTAGGAGAGGAATTGGGGATTGCTACTGCTTATAATGCACAGGCACAGAAACCAGGTAGCTGAACTGCATTGCACAGAGCTGCTGCTGTGTAGCTGTGGGAGAGGGGTAGGACTTGCTGTAGTCCTGCAGTCCAGAGATGCTTGGGCATTGTTTCTGCCCAAAGGAGCAGTGCCTGTGGGTGGGATGTGTGAGGACAGCGGTGCAGACCAGCCTTGCTGGGCAGAGTTGTGTCTGTGCTACCTGTGCTGAGCAGAGCTGGTGTTGTTTCTGTGCTGCCAGTGCTGTACAGCAGCCAGTGGGAGCAACCGGGTTCTTCCGCTGGGCCCCTGGCTGCGTGCGGGGAGCTGCCAGAGCAGCCCATCTGTGCTGGAGAGCATGCTGCTGCAGCTTCTGTTAGCTCGAGAGGTGTTTTGATACTCGGATTCTACACCAGGAGGAAGTTACACATTGCTTTGGTCTTCTTCCTGTTCAGGCTTTGGGAAAAAAAAGAAAAAATGGAAGGTGACAGTTACATCAGAGCTTGTTTATAACATGTACTTTGGCTGTAGCTGTGTTTCATGGCTTCTCATGCTGCTCACTTGCCTTCTGACTTTTGCAGAGTCTTGTGAGGAGCCAGAGTTGGGGGATCTGAGCAGCTTCAAGCATTGCAAAAGCAGTTTTTGTGGAAAGGATTAAAATGCTTCTGTTGATTGTAGTGGCAGGTACTCTGGAATGGCAGTCCTGTGGGTGGGAGTGCACCTACGGACACTGTGGGGAATTGCTGGTCTGGCCTTGGTGCACGTGTGTGACACTGCCTCCTGCCCAGTGCTGCTGGGCAGGTGGAGAGTGGGAAATGCCTCTGGATACAGCTCTGGCACCTGGCAGGGAGATGCTGCTGGCCCAGGGAAGGGGCCCAGCTCTTGCCAGCCTCCTGCCCTGCTGGCCCTGCCCAGGGAGCTGGCAGCTCCTCTGTGCCCTGGTCCTGAGGTGAGGCAGGGTGTGATCACTTCGACTTTGGCCCTCAATCCCCATTGCTTGGCTTCACTCTGTTGGGAGCTGGGAACAATTCATGGCTAGAGTGGCTACGAGTTCCTTTTTGGTTACATAAGTCAGGATTTTGTAACATCTCCCTACACTGCCTGTTGCTGAAGGGTTCAGGGGCTTCAGGCAAATAAACTTGCTGAAGGCAAATGAAAAGCTTATTTCACTTACAGCAGCAACCTGAGGCAAAAATTAGGTTTATAATCAAGCTGATGTGGTCTCTTAGTAAAGTACAATGTGAAAACAGCTCAGGCTGGAGCAGAGTGGAAAGCCCATGGAGTTGAAGCTAAGAGGACTTTGGATAATCCTGAGGAATACATATAGTGTGTGTTGGAGTGGATTTGAGGAGCTCTGCTGTATACCAAGGCTTAGTAAAATTGCTGGAGCTGGCTTGTAAAAAAAAAAAAAAAAAAAAGCATGCTGGCTTTTTATTTGCCTGATTGGCTTCTTGATGTTGCCAGTTATGTTGGTTATTCTTACTGAAGGCTGTGTTAGCATTAACTTAGCTGGCTTGTAAAAAAAAAAAAGGCATGCTGGCTTTTTATTTGCCTGATTGGTTTCTTGATGTTGCCAGTTATGTTGGTTATTCTTACTGAAGGCTGTGTTAGCATTAACTTAATCTTTCAAACTACTCTTATCTTTTGGCCAGAGCAGGTTTTACCAGGAGTGTGTTGTGCTGGGGAGGGATTTGTTGTCTAGAGGAGTAAATTGGAGCTACACTAACAAATGTCTTTGGAGTTGATAATTATAACTTAAAACATGTGCAGGGTTAAACTTATAAGACTTAAACCATTTGTGTTTGAGTTTTTTGAGAGCTTCTTGTGCAGTTTGTGGATGCCTGCATTGAGGTATGTTTTAAAGGCACTGTAGCAGCTCCTGGAGGTAGAACAGGAGGGCAGGATGAGGGTGGTGTGGGGCTGAGCAAGGTGGTGGCACTGCTTTACCTGTGAGCCTCGAGGCCTCCTGGCAGCTGATCCCTGTCATGACTTGGGAAGCACAGTTGGGGCATCTGTGGTATAAGCACATTCCATCTTCCTTAAAATGCTTTCCTGGAACCCCTGAGCAGGGATTGCTTTGTTGGGAACTTAAGAGCATGGTTAAATTGGGTTTTGGCACCTAAATGTCAGTTTCTTGTGAGATTTTTGTAGCTTTTAGGGTATCTTCTGTGTGGATGTAGTGGTAGTAGTTTTTTTCAACTTGGCCTTTAGGCAGGACACCTTGAACCTTGCTTTGTGGTGTGCTTCCACTTCCTCATTTTTGCTAAGGGACTCATTAAGAGTTGTGAGAGGGGTCAGGTTAATGGTAGGATCCACAGCAGTGGGCCCAGCCCCAGGGATATTTTGCTTAGGGGAGATGGCAGAAACTTTAAATTCTGTAAGATGCCTTGAGCTGGGAAGCCAGCTCAGGGTGAGGCAGCCCTGGGAGCTGAGTAACTCAAACTGGAACTTGATCTAAAGGCTGCTTGTAAATTCCTGAAGCAAAATCTGCATGTGCTTAAGGATCAAAAACTGTCTGGAGGGGAAACTGCTATGGCTTTCTTCAGATTTTGGCCTAGTATCAGGGTGGTTGAGGTCAGTCTTGATCATGGACCAGCAAGACTTCCTGGGTCACAGGGAAAACAAAGTTGCAAACAACTGGGGATCCAGTACATTCAGGCTGTAGATGATACCAAACTGTAACTGAATCCTCCATGTCTTATGAGTTCCAGCTTTATGGGAACTCCAGAGTCATTTGTTCTCAGTTACAGAAAGCAGCTGCTTCTCAGCATCCCTCAGCAACAGCTGGAAGCCAAGGCCCCAGTGGGTCTGGTGTCATGCTCATGATGGCTCAGGAGCTGCACAGGAGCTGCAAAAGGCAGAGCAGCCTCTGGGACAGGTGCCTGGCCCTGTGCAGCAGCTCTGGGTGCTCCTCTCTGTGCTGCCAGGCATGAGCTGCTCCTTTCCTGTTCCTGCACTGGGCTCTGCAGGTGTAGAGGGAGTCTTAGAGCAGCTGGAAGGGAATGGCAGGGCATGTTGAAGGGCTTGTCTGTGCCCTGTCAGGAAATCCAGGGGTGGCTTTGCCTCTCCTGTGGGCAGAAGCAGCTGGTGCCTGCACTCTGAGGAGTCTTGAGGGGTGAAGGGGAAGAGCTGAACTTGTTCTCCAAGCTGTTCTACAAAATTTGGAAACTTTTGTGCTGCAGGGGCTTGAATTGAGAGTTGGTGCAATACTTTTTTAAGCACGAGGAACTTACACAGTGGTTTTTCCATAAACATTTTAATCTGTGGTGTTTCACTCAGTGAATTTATGGAGCAAAACCTGAAATGCCACCTTGTCACTGAGACAAGTGGTACAAGTGGTTGTTGTAAGTAATCACTTTCTACTGAGGTAATGCCCAGGGCTTCAGAAAACTCAGAAATCTCCCTGGAACTGAATATGTAGAGAATGAAATAGTATTTTGATGAGAAACTGCTGCTACCTGAACTTCACTGCTGCCTCTGTGGCTCTTGGGGACTTACCTTGTGGTCCTTGTGTTATGTGCAGTTTGAAGGGGTTGGAGCATTTGGGCAGCAGGATGTAAGGGAGTGTCAGGGCAGCTCTGGAGCTGTGTATTTTACTGACTGGCAGAATGTGTGCCCAAGCTCATGTTTGTAACCCTTTCCTTTTTATAGCAGGCAAGGTGCATGTTGTGTGTTCATAAATACCATCCATGGTAGGTTGTGGTCATGCATGGCAAACATGCATTCTTACAGCTGCACCTTCTGGGTCATGTCATGCATACAATGGGATGAGAAGTGGTAAGGAGTATTTTTTTAGTTGTGTGCTTGGGGTTTTGAATACAATAGCATGAAATATTTTTTCCAGAAGATCAGAGTCCAGTGTTATTTGGAAGTGGTCTGTACTCCATACACCTTTAGAAAGAGTAGATACATTGCTGTTTTAAACTTTTCATGCCTGCTGTGTGTAGGCTCAGTTCCTTCTTTGTGGCCATGACCACACTGCCCCTCACACAGAGGAAGGTCTGTGTAGGTTTCTGCACGTTCCTGTGCTGCCCTGGTGGTTCAGGGAGCTGAAGCAACTCCAAAGGGCTTTGTGCCTTTGCAGGGTACTTAGAGATGCTCTCTTCCCCTCCAGGAAGGGAGAAGGCTCTTCAGCAGGTGCTGCATGCTCAGTGTCTGTTCCTGCCCATGTCCATGCTCAACACCAAGTGGAAAAAGCCCAGCAGGAGCACTAGGACAGCTTCCACAGTGTGGTGTCAAGTCAAAGAGGCTTCCAGCAGGGCTCTCTAGAAGCTGCTCAGGGCAAAACCCAAATGTGTGTGTGTGTCAGGGCCTGTGGGGTTTTCTGGGGCACTGCATCTGGAGGGGGAAATCCAGAGATGTAGTGTTTGATGTGAGGCAGCATTTGTGTCTTGTGGATTTGGTTAGTGGTGGCCTCCCAGTTCCTGGGAAGTAGAAGCTGGAACTCCCAGAGATCATCTGTTCAAAAGCTTAATCACTGCCTGTAAATAACAAAAGGCCATTAAATGGCAAATTTTCTTCCATTCCTGCAATCAGCTTGTCTTAATCATTGTACTTACTTGTTTTGTCTGCCAAAAACCTGGTATGGAGACTCCAGTTTGGACTGTTCTGGGAGGTGAAAAGCTGAACACACAATGGACCAGGGACAGCATGGGAGTGTTTCCTGTGCACTAGATAATAGTTGTAATCCTTATCTGGTGTGTGTTCAGCTTTCTAGACTGAGTTCACACACAAAAATGGTGATATGTTCAGGCCTATCATGCAAAGCAGGTCAGTGCCTGAGCCAGAAATGGAGCAGGTAGAGTTTGACTTCAAAGTTTTACTCTGTTTGCACTTTCCACCAAACATCCACTTCCTGAGCAAATGGCTGATGTGAATTACTGGTAAGACTAACTCTCTGAACTGTGCTGAAATTTTGCTTCATATTTAAGCAAAATAGTATAGTTCAGGTGTACTGTGAGTTGCTCACCCTGTTCAGACTCATTTTAGGATTTCTTCAGAGGAGAATTTGACTGACACAGCCACTGAAAAGTGGGGGATTTCAGTGAGGTGTGTGGGTATGGAAGGCCTTGTGTTTTATTCCATGCCACCCATGGTCACTGATGTGTGTGTGGAGGTGGAGCAGCCCCAGGCTATGGGAGCTGTGTGTGCTGCAGGCTGGCTGTGGAGATGATAAACTGGATCACTGTAGCTGGAGCACCACTGGAACTGTTACAGTTGAGGGGATAAAATAAGGCTGATACTGAGAGTTGTTGGATTGAGGCCATCTTATCTCTGTGACCTGGGGCTGGTGGAAAATGCAGTACCTTGGTAATGCTTGGGACCAGTGCAGGCAGACCTGGCAACCCCTGTGACGTGAGGATTGCTGTGACTCAGGGCTCTGCAGCCTGCACAGGTCCCTGAGGCCTGTGCCAGATGTGTCTCCTGGGTTTAAGATGCAACTTTACTTTCCAGAGTCCTGGTTATTAGTTCTGTGGTGCTGCCAGAGTGCCCCTAGCAGCCTTGCAGCAATGACATGGTTGTTTTTGAAATCAAGTGAAACAAACTCTTCCTGTTTTTTAGGAGTTGAACGACCTGGCACGTGATCCTCCAGCACAGTGTTCAGCAGGGCCTGTCGGGGATGACAGTAAGTATCTCCTCTCAGCAAGCACCTGCCCTCTCCCATGTTTTTCCTTTTCCTTCTGAAATGGGATGTCCAGTTCCTCAGCAAGGAGAATCCTTCTCTTTCTTTTAGAGTACTAGATAATACTCCACCTCCTGATCTTAAATTTGCTGCTCTTGTGTATCTCTTACACCTTCCTTGGGTGCCAGCGGTGTTATTCCCACTCTATTGATTGGGCAACTCACTCACATCTTAAATTATGCCTTTTAAATTAACTGTTCTGGAATTTTCCTGGTGGATGGTGTTAGAAAACCTCAGTAGATCTGTGGTCAAACCAGCAGGCAGCTGCCCATAGCCTTGTGACCTCAGATACCTAAACTATACATGGTGTCTGAAAACTGCTTAAATCAGCATGCCCTGCCAGCTGCTGTGTAAGGGACAGCCTCAGACAATCTTCTTGGCCTTCCTGTTCCAGTCTGTTCAGCTGGGCAGTGACTGGGAGTCACTGCAGTTCTGTGCTCACATTCTTCCCTGTGGAAAAGGCTCCTTGAGAACCCTTGGCAGCTGTGACTGCAGTGCCCCTGAACAGCACACAGGGAATTTGCTGTGCAGTGTGGTCTGACAAGTGATGTCAGCAAAGCATCCCTGCTCCTGAGAGAGGGGAGAGGGAAGCAGGGAAACCCTCCTTCTCTGTGCTGAGAGCTCTAAGCTCAGGTTTCCTTTCTAAAATGAAAAAATGCTGCCAAGATCTTTCTGAATCATTTCTGAGCTACTCAGAAGTGCTGAAGTGTACAGAGAGTTACACATTCCTGTAGAAATTTAGGGCTACGTTAAAAAAAGCACTTGAAACCTGAGGGTGAAAATACTGAAATTAGTGGGAATGTTCCTGTTCAGCAGCTCTTTCAAATGAGTGGAAGCCCAGCTTGGTTTTGAGGGTGTTCAGCAGTAGCTACTTCACAACCTAGTTGTGCTTTCCAAATAGTATTTCAAAGAGGTTTGTAGTTTCATAGACAAGAAATGACTAAGATGGAGAGCCAGTCAGAGGTTTTTATTCCCTTAAATTAGCAAGTGTGATTTGTGCCATGATAAACTACTTTGTGTTTTCCAAAGCCTTATCAAAGGTGATGACAATTGTCTGGCAGAGGAGGTGGTAACAGAAGTTGGTGAAGGCTGAGAATGGAAAGTTACCGCTGATACAGAAAGCTTTCAAGTGCTATTCAGTTCTCCTGGTGCCACCTTTCTGAAAGACCTCTAATGAAAGACTTTTGTTCTTGAGAGCCACAGTTTGGATGTGTGTAAGTGGATAGCAGTGGCAGCAACAAAAGGTGCCTTCCCCCAGGTCCCTGAGCTCCAGGTCTGCTCAGCTGCCTTGTCAGAGCGACATTTCCCAGAGCTCAGGACGTGCTGTGCTTGCAAAGTGCTGTCCTGTGGCTGTTCCAGCTGATACAAACTGTCCCCAGCCATAAGCTTCTCATCTCTGGGGTTCATGAACCTCAGAAAGTAAAGGGCTTTTCCTGCCTTGTGCACTGTAGGAATGGGATTTTCCTGGCAGTGTGGTTTTAGCTTCTTCCACCCACCTCTGGCCTGTGTTTTGGAAATGTGCTGGGGACTGGATGGTGTTGGTATGCTTCCAGTGGCTTAGCCTTTTTCAAACGTGTACCTGTCCTTACCTACTGAAAGCAACAGCCCCCTGCCTTTGTAAATACCTCTGTTTGGCTGACTGCAAAGGAAAGAATCAGGTGGAATGAGCTCTGCATGACAAATCCATCTCTGCATTCACCAGACTTGTCCTGGATGTTACCAGGATTTAAAGCTTAGGTTAAACAAGCACCAGGTCTGGGGTGGGCATTGAGTGGGAGGAAACACAAACCTCCCTTCTAGCTTTCAAAAAGTGGAGATTGCCTGTGGATATGGTTTTATTTCTGTTTTTTGTTGGGTTTAAGGAAGTCATTGGTTATTTGAGGTTCTCTTTTCTGTGGTGACTCTGCATAGCAACCACAGTGAATCTCACCAGGATTTGTGAGATTTTTACTGGTTTTGTTGGGGTTGGCTGCAATCTCCTGTGGGATTTCTGCTGCCCCTTTGTCCTCTCCTCCATGTTTCTCCCTGTCCTGCTGCAGGTGACAGGGAGCTCCTGGGAAACCATCTGAACCCCTTGAAGATGGGTGAATGCTACGTGTGAGCTGCTGTCTGGGTTTCCTAATCCTTCATTGGATGTAGAGTTTCTCAAAGCCAGGCTCCTGAGAGAGTGAATATTTAAGTAGTGAAATCCTCTCTGTTAGAGATGAGAATTCTAAGCTCAGGTATTCTTTTTAAAAGGAAAAAATGAGTTACTAAGATCTTTCTGAATCATTTCTGAGCTACTCAGCAGTGCTGGAGTGTATAGACAGTTACACATTCCTGTAGAAATGTAGGAGTAGATTAAAACAAACCTGTTCCAACCCAACACTCTTCTCCCCTGGCCTTGCCGAGCTACTCCCACTCTGCTTTTTTCCTCCTTCCTTGTATGAGATCATTCTGAGCTGTAGTGCCTGTACCATGTGTAATTAAAAACTGCTTGTGCTAGATGAGAACAGGTAGTGCCACTCCTGCTTTTGGCCCGGGTAGTCCTGCCAGCTGTGGGCACCAGGTGCCAGTCAGGCACAGACACTTCTACGTGGCTTCATCTCCTGTCTTGAGGAGTTCCCTTGAAACAGCTGCCATCATCTCCACCTCCCCAGTTCTGGAGGTGCTGTGTAGGTGACATCCATGCTGAGGGAAGCTTCCATAGTCTTAATTCACAAATCATTTCCTAGGCTGGTGCTCTTTGCAGAGGCACTGAAGCCTGTGGAGACACAGGAGCCCTGAGAGCTCCCAGTGTGCCTCCTACAGACTATCAGCTTTGACTGTTTTCCTTTCCAGCACAGCAACATTCTTCACAAATCCTCTGTGTTACCAGGTGAAAGTTCTCTTGGGCAGATGCATACAAGTGAGGATTAACTTCTGACCATTTAACCTGAAGTGTGTCCTGGCACATCCTGCTCCAAGTATGGGGCAGACTATCATTCCTGTGTTCTCCCAGGACAGTTCTTTCTGCTGCTTTTGTGAAATCTTGAGGCCTCTGTGGAGATGATGCTTGAATGTTGTGAGGACACCACTGGTTTGGTTCACACAGAGCCTGGGCTCCCCTTCCATGTGTCACAGGTGTGAGTTCATGCTGGAGCTTAGCTGTAGCTGCCTTGAAGGGGCAGTCATGGGTGCTGATTCATTGGAAATTACAAAGTTTAAACTCACAATTTTCAGCCTGGAAAGTTGCCTAGAACTATGTGGGTTTTTATTGTAATGGGATTTTTTTGCAGGACATGTGTGTGGTACACAGCAGTCCTGGAGTGAGGACTGCAGAGTATTGAGTGCTTTGCTCTGTCTCTCTTTAATTCCTTGGCTCGCTTCCCTGTGGCCTTTCACAAGGCTTTGTTTTTAAAATAGACTTTTCTTTTCTGTGCTGTTTTGTCTGGAAGAAAGTAGATCATTACTTGAGCTTCTCCAAACTGAAGTAAATCTCTCTCTTTTTCAGTGTTCCATTGGCAAGCTACAATAATGGGACCAGTAAGTATGAGAGAATTGATGTTCATGGCTTGTTTGACTGGTGGTCTGGTAGTAACTCCTCAAGCTGCAACGATTCTTTTTCATTAACAGAACGACAGTCCCTATCAAGGTGGAGTATTTTTCTTGACAATTCACTTCCCGACAGATTATCCCTTCAAACCACCTAAGGTGAGTGGCTTCTGCCATAAATCTGTCTGTTACCATGTGGTGTGATGTATGTTTGTGAGCCTACACTGAAATTTTCCTTCTTCTGCAGGTTGCATTTACAACAAGAATCTATCATCCAAATATTAACAGTAATGGCAGCATTTGTCTTGATATTCTACGATCACAGTGGTCCCCAGCACTAACTATTTCAAAAGGTACCTCCAATGCTTATTTCATTTTACTCTGCTAAAATGAAGTGCTGATTTGGGATGTAAAAACTGCTGCATTCCTGCTGGAATCCACCATTTCTGTGGTCACTGCTTGTGTCCTGTGACTCTGCATGGAGCTTGCAGCCAGTTCCTGAGCACGGGATGCTCAGCACATCCAGCTTCCCTGTGGCCATGGGAGACTCCTCAGCTTTGCCAGTGGATCAGATAAGTCTTACTACACTGAGTACAATCTCCTGCCACCTCACCTCAGTACACTTCAGCTAAAAATAGATACAAATATATATAAAATAAAACCTAGTATGGGACAGTGGAAGACTTCAATGTTCAAAATATACCCAAAGTAAAATATCTAAGGGAGCAGCTGTGGCTTTTGAAAAATGGTGAAGTTTCTAAATCTTGGTAATATTAAAAAGGATTTCTCTTTCAAGGGAGCACTAGAACTCCATGTTGGTAATTTTTTAACAGAACTTCCAATGGTGTGAACTACTGAAACATGGTTTAAAACTTGCCTAGCTTGAACAATCTAAAATAATTAGCTAATAGCATCTTGGTCACTGTGAACTGTGTTAGCTTGTGGAGCACTAGAATTTAGCCTTTACCTGGTAAAGCAGTATTCATATTTAATATAAATAGGAGGCTTTTCTTATCTTGAAAGAAGACACAGGCTGGATTTTTTTTTTTGGCTATTGAAATGGTAGATTTACAAACTGTGGCTCAAGTTTGTAGGTCTAGCCATAGCTATTTAGGAATATTTGGAGTCTACCCTGTGCATAATCATTTTTTGACCCTTCTGTTCTGTAGCTTCACACTGTCCTTGTAATCAAATGCTGCAGTTGTCACATTGATTACATTGTCCTTCACAGTGTCCCTGCTCTGAGGCTCTCCTGTTGCCTGTCCTTCTCTCCAGCTACATGTGATGTTCCCAGGCACTTTCTGGTTCAGACAGGTGATCCTGGTGCATCCCTTGGACATCCTCACTGTCTGCCTTTCCCTGAACCCACAGAAGTTTCCACCTTCTCTGTCCAGCTAAAGGCATTTGCAGAAGCAGATGGAAAGGCAAACCAGTATCTCCTTGTCTCTTGTCAGAAGTGAATCTGCTTGGGCACAAGGCTCAAAGTCTTGAAAGAACTGAAAAAATGGTGTCAGTGAAGAAAAAATGATTGATTGTCAGGTTGCTGCAGTTTCCTTACAAGTGCTCTCAGTCAGTACTGGCTGCTCTTAGAAGAACCAAATTAGCCCCAAGCACTGATGTCTGGTCTGGTTTGATTTAATTGCTGCTTAACTGGAGAAAATGCTGTATTGTTTTAGGGAGTCTGAAATGACCAGATGGGTGGTGGGGTGATAGACAGCATGATTGAAAATCCTGGGAGATGGACTGGAATTAGGACAATTGGGAGAAGATGGGGCAGGAATTTAAGAGGCTGCTCCAGGCTGTCAGCTTTAATCACTCAGAAAATACATCCTAGTGTTAATTTTACTGCCCAAATACATTTGCAATATGCTTTAACATCTCAATCTCCCTTTGTGTTCTGCTTTGAACTCTTTTCTTCTTATCCTTTTCAAACTGTATCCTTGTGACTCAGCTGGAATAAGCCATGGGATCAGGGTGGCTGTTCTGTGCCACCTGCCCCTTCCAGTGCCCCTCTCCCTGCTGGGTTTAGGGGGCTCTGTAGTGCTGATCACTTCTCACTGCTGAACAGTTCAGCACAACAGCCACACTGCTCTAACCTGGGAGAAAACCTTGTCCCAGCTCCCTTGGGCTGCATTTACTGAAGGAATGAAAACAACAAAGCAAATTCCATGGGGTGACTTTATAGGAATACTTCCCTCAGAATCACAGGGATGCCCTGTCAAAAGGCAGACTTCAGAAGCAGAGAGCTGATACTTAGGGGAAGTGTTCCCATCTTGAACAAATGGAAATAAAGTCCACTAAGGCAACTTGGATCTTTTGGGCTTGAAGTCTTAAGTTCAGTCAGATTAGAGTGTGTTGTGACAGACTTCAGGGATGTTTCAGCTTTCTAGTAACTGATTGGCCTTATCAAAGAATGAATGTGTTGTTAGCAGGAAAAATTGTTGGATTAGGTAATTTGGGGTGAATAATAAGACTTAAAACATTCAGCAATAAGTTCATACCTCTTCCAAAGCATCAATTTATTATTTGTAGTGTAGATTTCTGCGAGTATTTCCTAAATTGTGCTACCCTTTAAATTGGATGCTACTGGGAGCAAGCTGTTTGAATTTAAACTCTGTAAGCAGATAACTTAGAGCACAGCTATGAAAAAATGTACTTCCTACTGACTGAGAAATGTGGGAAGAGTAGAAACAGTCCTTGTAGGAAAGAGCTTATCATGCACAGCTTCCTCCTGAGGCAGCTGGGAGGCAGCACTATCAGCAGCTCACTGTTATGCTCACAGTTAATGTGTGGTACATGATGTTTTTCACCTTAACCTGCAAGGAGTGAGGGGAAGGGGTGTGCACGGACTTCCTGTGGGTTAAAAATGCCACTTTCTGGTGGAAAGACTGAAAAATCATATCAGTGATTTAGTCATTCCAGTTCAGTGGTAAAGATAGGGGTCTTGGCTCCTCACACTCCAGAGCCAGCCCTGTGTAAGCAATTTAATAAAGATTGTGGTTATGATAGAGGTGATTGGCGTTTTGGGGTTTTGTTCTGTCCCTCCTACAATTGTTAAAACTTGGGAGAACAGCAGTGACTGTCTCAGTACAACAGCTGACTTGCTTCAGAATTAGTAATTCTGCACTCAGTGTTCCCTCAAGAATACATACTGGAGAATAAATAACCTCAAAATACAGTCTTAACCACACCGTGGTGGGTAATTTGAACTCCAAGGCTTAAGCAGAATGCGTAGGCTTAAATTAAAAACATTATCTCCAAGTCTGCATAAATAAGAACCCTGTTGCCTGAAACAGGAGAATATGAAGTGTTTTAACATTATTGCAGCTGTTCTCAGCCATTTTGGGGGGGAAACACTCTTCCTCTTGAATTTGGCAAATGGCTGTGCAAGAGTTAATCCTGAGTGAAGCACGTGTGCAGTAAAGGTTGGACTAATCTGCTGTCTTATCCCACTTCTCCCTGTGTTTTGTAAGGAATAAATCATGGAGCCTGTGTGAGTGTGCTGGAGGGCCCTGCCTGGGAGGGACAGTGAGTAACCTCAGCCTCATTCATGCAAGACTTCAGCTCCCCCTGTCCAGACTTCCATGGTGCAGTGAGGATCTTCTGTCATGTTTCTCTTCATGAATCACTTCACTAAGACTTGCTGGAAGTAATAGTACTGAGAGATCGAATTGGACACTGACAGTGCCATTTTCAAAATCAGGAAGTTGGGTTCTGATCATCTTGGCTTTTAGTTTGCCCATTGCAGCTTTACCCACGTAACTGGGGGTGGCTTTGTCACAGAGCATGGGTCAGTGTGTCCACCTGTGCTGAGTTGGGGCTCTGAGGGAAGTGCCCACATTTATGTTTCAACTTTCACAACTGTAACTGAGCCACTTGTGCAGCTTCCCAGGAGCTGTCCTTGCTCCAGAGAAAGCTGTGCTGGGAGGAGTGGTGCCAGCAGGGCTGTGATCCTTTCCCTCTCCTGGGTGCTGATGAAGCCCTGGAGCATTGCCCAGTGTGGGCTCCCCAGCCAAGGAAAGTGTGGATGTACTGGAGAGAGCCCAGGGAGGGGCCAGGATGCCATGGAGGACAGGCTGAGAGCTGGGACTGTCCAGCCTGGAGAAGAGGAGGCTCAGGGGATCTTACCAGTGTCTGTAAATACTGGAAGGGAGCCTGTGGAGGTGACAGAGCCAGACTCTTCTCAGTGGTGCCCAGTGACAGGACAAGAGGCAGTGGGCACAAGCTGAAGCACAGGAGGCTCTCTGAGCAGCAGGAGACACTTGATGTTGTAGTTTTACAGTCAGGATGCTGAGCACAGGTTGCCTTGGGAGGCTGTGGGCTGTCCCACCTCAGAGATACTGCATAGCCCCTGAACATTGTCATGCACAGCCTTAGGTGGCTCTGCTTGAGACAAGAGGATCTCCAGAGGTCCCTTCCAACCTCAACCAGTCTGGGATACACTGGGCAACACTTAACTTTTCTTCTTTTGTCACCAGAAATTGTTGAACTGACTTAGCAGGAATGCAAGTTGCTTTGAAGGCAGAAGTTTAAACTGCTCAGATTTAAAGGTACACTTCCTGTAAGGCTGGGGAAGATGGCTGGAGGAGTTGGAAATGGGGTTGTGGTTAAGAAATAGGATTTAACTCGAGCAGAGGCCAGAGTTCCTTTCATTTATTTGGATGAACATCTTGCCTGTTCACAGTCAGGAGCCAGGCATTTGAACCTGTTGGGCAGTGGTGTTTCCAGTGTTGAGTGCTGCAAGCTTATACATCTGTCAGTACTGATAAAGCTTTGACAACTACATGTCTCAGGTTTCAAGGGTTTGGGTCCTGAAACTCAAAAACAGTTACTATGTAGGAGAATATTCCCCAAAATCAGGAAAAAACCTGACTCTTGCAAGGAGCAGAGATGGAAGTAGCAGTGAACTTTGATGTGGAGGCTGCCAGGCTGATGATGAACAAATGAGCCCTTGCTGGTGAGAGAAGCAGCACAGCTGGATAAACCCTTCAGAGTGGAATCAAGAATCCCTCAGCAGCCTGGCATGTCCAAAGCTCCCATTTCAGCTGGCAGAGGTGTACCAGGCTCAGTCAAACCTGAGCTGACAAATTGTTACTTCTGCACTCAGAAACTGGGCTGGGCCAGAAGCACAGCACTGTCTGCCAGAGCCCATGGCCTGGTCTCCAGGAGTGACAGATCACTTTCCTTGGAAAGCCCTGGCACAGTGTTTGTCATTCACCCAGGTAGAGCAGGTGGGGTGGGCTGCTGCCTTTGCTGTGAACTCATGATGGCCAGGATTGATGCTGCCCTGTTTTCCCCCACCTGCTCTGTGTCACTGCCTGAGCTTTTCCATCATCAGGTGGTCCTGACACTGCGGTGTGACTCCAGCCAGGGTGGAGAGCTGAGTGTCATCCTGCTGTCCTGACAGCCTGGCATGCAGAGCAGCCATCTCAGCATGTTCTTGGTACCGTAACAAACACTTTGTTGGTGCAGTGTCTGTGCCTGCTTGGAGATGGACCTTTACTCCTAGATGGATTCTAAATTGGCTCCTTTTGGAGAGCAGTAACTGCACCAAACAGCAGTTGGATCAGAACACACCAGCTGCTTCTTCTGGGGAGCTCATTACTTTGGAAATATAAGTGCCATTTATCTCCCTTCTGTGAATTCAGCTGGAGATTCCATTGCTCCTCAGCTGCCTTTCCTTACTCTGAAGTGCCCCATGGATGAGTGCTTTAGTGGAGCAAGTTTGTTTGGAATTCCAGCTAGACTTGAGCAGCAGGATCTGTAGTGGTTGGTGCCCTGTGTCAGGGGGTGGCTGGAGTGGTGGGTGTTAGACCAGTCAGGCTGTGTAGACAAAGTGTCTTCACCTCTTGAGTTCCAGGTTCTTTAACACACCTGAATTTGGATGTTCCAGTAGCCAGATGGGCTTTAAACTGTGTTCTGCACTGCTCATTTGGCTAGTGCTGGAAGGACCTGTGGAGAGCTGACACCATGGATTGTCCTGGCTAATGGCTGAGCTGCTTCGTAGCAGAGGAAACGCAGCCATGAATTTCACCTATGGAATTTGCATCCACCTCTGCTCAGTGTGAGGTGGGGCAGAGCCAGGAAGGTGCAGTTGCCCATCAGGGGTGGTGGGCTGACCTTGGTGGTGTGAGAGCACAGCAGGGCAGCTGCTGAGATGGACTGTGCCACGGGGAACTGGAGCTGGTCTTGTTGACAAGCTGCCAGTGGCATGATTTTCTGCACAGAGGAGCTGCCTGGAGAAAGATTGCCCATGAATTTCAGTATTACATGCTTTGTGAAGGGAAGTCTTGCAGAGGGAACCTGGATCTCAGCTGTGCAGTGTTACACACTTATTTTGCATGTTACATTTAAGCAGCGTTCAGTGATCATAGTGCCTGATGAGAATGCAGTTCTGTCACTGCTCTGTGGGGAAGCTGAGCCATTTTCTAGAAGCACTTTGTTAGCAGCCCTTCTGCTTGATGAGTTTGGTGCTCCCAGCTCCTTGGTGTTGGGGAGTCTGTGCTAGACCATGGCAGCAGGAAGCACACAGAAGGGTAAATTGTGTCTGTTGTCTGCAAAGATAGATGGGGAGTGTAGTTAAAGGGTTGGAGGTCAGTGGATGCCTGGTTGGTGAAATAAAACAAAGCAAAACCAACTTTCATGTGAAAAGGAGCTTAAAAGTGACAGTGGTTTAAGTTGCTTAGTGGCTGGACAGCTCTGGCAGCTAAGAGTTATGAGAAATAATTCTGTACAGAGTTATTTCAAGGGATGAATCCCTTGAGTTAATGGCAAGTAGAATTTATTTTGCTATTACTGAGAAGAATCCAGACTTGAATTCAAAGCGTGCACACTTGAAGTACATTCCTGCCAGTGAGGGACTTGAAGGGATTCTGCCAAGCTGATAATGCTTTGCCCATGGCCATGCAGGATGTTCAGGTGTGAAGGGTCACTTACCTGCCTTGTGTAATTATTCAACCTGATTCTGTGGTTCCAGAAGTTTTGGGGAATTCTCTTTTCATTGTCTGATAGTAATGCTGGCATTTGGCTAGAAAATATCAAGGCTTTGCTGTGGAATTCATTGCAGTAATACTTGATTGCAGAGGGAGGTGGCCTGGTGAGTCTCTTATTCCATGGTGTTGGTTTAACTCATTATCTGCATCAAAGAACTCTGATGCACAGCTGACATCTGAAAGGATTGCTTCCCCTTTCCCCTTGCACTTGAAACTTTGAGGTGGTGCCTTTTCCAAGGCATTTTTCTATATGTTGGTTCTACAACATGTGCATGTGCAGTATTGTAGTGGAAAGCCTTGGGAGAAACTTGCAGAATTGATTTTGGACAAATAGCTGGGTTCAGCAGGATATTAAAATTAAACCAGTTTAGTTAAAAATACTTTTTTTAGTGTGGATGTACTGATAAAAGGGGAATGATGTGAAGTCACCAGCAAGAGTTAGTGTAATGAGAATAATTTGGAATAATGAAGACTTAGAAAAATAAATCAAAGCAGCTGAATGTGGCAGTGCAGCTTGAGGTCAAATGATTGTGTCCACTTTTATTCAGTGTTTTTGGAGTGATACTGAAAAGTGAACTGCTGAGTGTTAGGAAAGGGGGTGTGAGGGTGGGCAGAGAGCAGTGGACAGACCTGCAGTGTGGTTCTGCTGATGAAGGCTGTGTTCAGAAATTCCTCGGGCTTTTAAAGGACTGATAAGATAAAATTTGAGGGAGTAGTTACAACAGTTGACCAGAAAACTTTTGGTTGGATTTCCTGTGTCCTCTGGTGAGGGCAGGAGACACATTGGAGCTGCCTTGCTCTTGCTACAGCTGAAGAAACTTCAATGACCAGAGCAGTGGAGTCTGACAGAAAGAAATGAGCTGCAGGGAAATTGCTGGAGAAACAGCTGTTCTCAAACTGGACTGACTGGGAGCAGTGTGAGGTGGCAGAGATGTTCCTATTGAAAACTAACATGGGCTTTACTTGATTTATAGGGGGAAAAGAGCTGGTGCTGGATCTGTGCCCCAGGTGCCAAGTGTGCTGCCTTGCTGAGGGACAGCAGTGCAGCAGCAGTGGCTTCTGCAGACCTCCTGCACACTGTGAGCTGAGAGGGAGCTCAGTAAATGGGCCCCCTGTCAGTTGATGGTGGAGAATCATGAAGCTCTGAACTTTTCACAAGTGCACTGTGGAAAACTGGGAAAAGGGAGAAGAGGTTTGCTCCTTTTCCTAGAAGCAGAAATATGTTCTCCCAAACCAAGACTGGTTTATCACCAAATTTGTTTTAGAAGCTTTGAACTGGGAATTGGTAATTCCTTAGTGAAAGGTCTACAGAAACAGGTGGGCAAACTGAATGAAGTGGCTTTGTGGGTTCTTGGTGCTCACAACACTGAGCAACTTGTGCAGTTCAGACCTGAAGGAAGCTTTCACTCTTGTCCCACTTGAAAAAAACTGAATACCAGACCTGTTTCCATCCTCTCTCTGAAGTGTGGTGAGGTTCTGGCACAGGTTGTCCAAAGCAGCTGTGCCTGCCCCATCCCTGGAAGTGTCCAAGGCCAAGTTGGACAGGGCTTGGAGCAACCTGGGCTAGTGGAAGGTGTCCCTGCCCATGGCAGGGGCGTGGAATGAGATGGACTTTGAAGGGCCTTCCATTCCAAGCCATTCTGTGATCTGTTTTGTGGCCCTCTTTTAACCTATCTTAACACCTTTGTTGTTTTTATGGGCTGCATGCTGTCTCCATTCATTTTTCAGAGATAGCTCTGCCTCCTGCAAGTGATGGGAATTGGAGCAGATTCGTGTTTAGTGTCTTCAAACTCCTCACTCTTGTCATCTGCACCTTGCCTGGAGGCTGCACTGTGACAACTGCTTTGCTGCAATTGGTGAAGGGACATATGGAGTGGCACTGTTTGATCCAAACAGGAGGAGAGAAGGGAATGTTTGGCATTTTCGGGAGTGGGGCAAGATGTCCCTGCCATGCCTGGTGTAGTGTTGTCCCAATATGTTTGCTTAGAACTTCCTGCCTTCTCCTGTGCAGTGAGTGTAGGAATGTCCATGTGCTATTTGTGGCTTTGCAGCAGTGTCCTGGCTCCTTGTATGGGTGAGGGCTGTCACTCTGCCCAGCAGGATGTGCCTTCTGGGATACATCCACTCTGTATTTATAGTGAAACACTCCAGTTCTGGGGCTCTGTGATCGATAGAAGTGCAAGGAGCTGGGCATCATTCTTGGGTCATTTTGGATGCTGTTCTACACTAAATCCATCTCAGCTTTCTTTATGCTTGGAAAAAAGTTAAGCCTTTCAATTCAGTGCAAGACCAGCTTATTTTTAAACAGATCTTCAGGGCCAGGTTGGAAGGGGCTTGGGGCAGCCTGTGCTGGTAGGAGGTGCCCCAGCCCATGGCAGGGGTTTGAAGAAGATGAGCTCCAAGGTCCCTCCCATCCCAAACCATTCTGTGATTCTTAAGTAGCTGTGAACAGCCCTTGCTTCCTTCATTTCAGCTGGACTTGTCTGCTCTTTGACTTTTGATTAATGCTTCTCCAAGTCATCCAACAGTGAGCTGGCTGCTTTAGGGAACTGTTGAATTTCAGGTGCAAAAGCAAGGATGTTTTCCCAGAGGACTCTCAGGTTCCAGGCTCAGGCAGAACACTTCTGCCTTGTGGTTTAAGGCTGCTGCTGGATAAACCTATCCAGGAGGTTACTCACTGTGATACTGTGGTTGTGAAAACTTGTGTAGTTCACTGGTAAAAGGAGTTTGTTCAGAATCACTCAGCTGAATTACATGGGATTGGTGCTCCTGGCAAACTTAAATAAATGCTGCTGGTGCTACTGGCTGGAGGGGAAGGAAGTGCATGGCTGACTGGTGCAGGTGTCCTCAGCTGTCCTGGAACTAATTCAGTGTCTCTTTTCTCTCCTTAGTACTTTTGTCCATCTGTTCTCTGTTGTGTGATCCCAATCCAGATGATCCTTTAGTGCCTGAGATTGCACGGATCTACAAAACAGATAGAGAAAAGTGAGTATGGAAGCCAAAACCCATGGAATTTGACAGGGCAGAATCCACACTTACATAGTGCAGGGGAACTGAGAGGAACTGCTTCTTGGAAAAGAGTGAGAGTGAAAAAAGGCAAATCACTGCTCTGTGGTCTTCTCAGAGATTTTGTTGGGTTTTTTTTCCCTGGGATCTTTCCACCGTCTGAGCTGCTTTAATCCCATGTAACCACCAGAGGGAGAGCAAGTTACTCCAACGGGAGAATATTCCATGGCAGCTCTGGGTCTGGAGTCATACAAAGAAATACCAAACTCCATGTTTTACCTTTACCCTGTAACACAAGGGAAGAACCAGTCCTGTAGAAATGGGGCAGGAGCACTCTCCAGCAAGCACAGAGAAATTTCAGTGCTAACAAGCACTTTAACAGTTTAGTGTTGTAAACACTTCTACCTCACTGTTCCCTTCCAGATCTGAGCAGGGAAGGGAAAATAGTGCACAGATTTGCTTCCTCTACTGCATACATGAGGAGCACAAGGTTATGCATCCTGGGTTTGAGAGCTGGAGACACAATCAACAGTGATTATCTGCACTTTTAAGTGTGCAGAACTCCTTCCTGTTTTTTTACAAAAATAGGGAAATAAATTTGGGGTTTAAGCACAAGGACTTGCTCCTTGGGTAGTCTCTGAGCAGTGATAGGAAGGAGAGAGTTAGTTATGAGTGGGTTGTCAGATTGTTTAAGCTAAAGAACATTGTCTACAGACTAAATTCCAACACCAAACCAACTTGGTGTACATAACTCTAGGGAACTTCAGGCTGTGTCTCACTCTACAAATTCTGTAGAACATGAACAACTTGCTTCTGTTGCCAGAGAGAAGCTCTCAGCAGTGCAGTTAATCACACAACTGCTTTGTTTACACAAGTATCCTGAGCTTCCTCTGGCTGTAAAGAGTATTTGGGTGTAAAAGCTACAGATTTCTTGGGAATTGACAAATCTTTGTGTCCTGACAGTCATCAAAATAGCCAAATGTATAGGAAGAAATCAGGCTGTTGGGGTTCAGCAGATGAGTTGATGGCAGGTACTGGGCTTAACTTTGCAGGGAAGCAGGAGATGGGGGAACATGTTAATCTATTTTCCAGAATGACCAAGTGAAACCCTACAGTAAGAGTTTCCCCAGGGACACAGCAGATGGGGCTGGGGGAGGCACAGATAAAGCCTTCCTGAAAATCCTTTCCCCTCAGCCCTGTTCCAGCTCCAATTTATGTATCCAGTCAGAGATCTGAGATCTCCTGTTGTAAATACCACCAGGTCTTTCTTTTCCATGAAGCACTGTGGGCTTTCTTGTGTCCCCTGTTTGCATAATGTTTAATTTTGCTCTTAAATTTTACAAACTGATGATAGTACTGTGATGTCATGCCATGTGTAGACTAGAGTGCTGGAGCTGAAATCTGTGCAGATGCCATGTTGAGTAAATCCTCTTTTTATACATACAGGTACAACAGAATAGCTCGGGAATGGACTCAGAAGTATGCGATGTAATTAAAGAAATTATTGGATAACCTCTACAAATAAAGATAGGGGAACTCTGAAAGAGAAAGTCCTTTTGATTTCCATTTGACTGCTTTCTATGAGCCCACGCCTCATCTTCCCCTGTGCACATGTTTACCTGATACAGCAGTGCTGCGTGTTGTACATACTTGGAACAACAAACTAGAAATACTGTATTTCCCCGTACCAACATTGACTCCTAGCAGAGAAGTGTGTGTGTGAAAAGCTGGTTCTTCAGTCATAACTTTGTGAGCCTAAAAGCATTCCTTGCTGAGTTAAATTGGGAAATCAAATGGGAATGGGCAGAGTTCTGGTGGGTTTCAGATTTTCTAGGGACGCTGTTGCTGATCCATGAAGGATTTTAAGTGGAATCCTTTTAAACTCATAAGTTATGAAAAGCAAGGTGAAGAACTTGAAGCTGTTTCTGTATTCATTTTATTCTGAAGGACCTACACCTTAGGTAAATGTTATGACCAATGAGAAACTGTACCCACATCCTGTGTTTAAGGTCTAAGTTTAACCGGTCACCATTTAAATGGATTGGAGCTATTAGTGCATCAAGTGATGTTGATTTGTTTCAACTCTCTCCCTCCCTTCATACTTTTTTTGGTTTGTATGTGGTTTCTGAGTTAATACCTAGCTAATAGCTCTTATTTTTCTTAAGTTTTTTAACTGCTTAGGTCTTTCTGGATGTAAGGGTAAAAAAAAAAAAATCCATATGACAGAAAACTTGTGTGTATTTAAAGACCCAACTGCTCCCCTGGAGCTTGTACGTTCAAGAATGAATTAATCTGTGTAATAAACTGATTACTACAGTCATTACATATAACTTTGTGTGAATAGGCTTTTAATTTTCAGAGCAGTTTGTTACAGGCTTAAACTAACGGTGGATTTCTCTAAAAAAACTTTTTGGGCTGAAGTCGTGAAGCAGTTTGGTTTGCATCACACAAGGCACCTGAAGAGGCAAACAGGAGCTTGAGCACTTAGATGAAATCAGGATGTGTAGTGTGCCAGGAACTTGACTGTTAAACCAAATAAGCAGTTTACTAAATGCGAATCAGAGTGACATTTTACAAAGCCTGATGGTATTACTCCCACTTGCATGGGACCTAACACAATGCATATGTACTGTAGGTAAGTGAAACCTTATGTAACTAAAAAAATGGATGTAAAAGGGTAAAAAAAAGAAAAAACCTACCAAACACATCAGCACAAACTTTCATAAAATGTAGCTTTTACATAATTACTTTGCACTAAACATTTGCAAATGTTCATACAGTTTTAAATTGTACTTGTATGTGTCTTTTTTTTTTCTTTTTTTTTTTTTTTTGGAACAAAGTCTTCACTTGAATCTAGTGAAAAAATGTAGTTTGAAACTTTTCTTTGTATACAAGTGTATTTGCCAGCATCGTTGGTGTGACAGTAGGTGAGTCTGCAAGTTTATCTCCTCTTAGTAGAATTGTAACCCAAGCCATCGGGCAGGAGAGGCTGGAGCCGCTGGCTCTCCGGCCACAGGGTCTGTCCCAGCCATTCCCAAATGCATCTTGACACTCTTGCACAAACGAGGAATAAATGTCCACTGCTTTTGGTCTAAATCTGCTCCTCTTGTGTCATCTCTCGATGGTGCTGGGCAGGTGTGAGCTCCTGCAGGCAGCTGTGTCCCTCTGCAGGGCCAGAGCACCCTGCTGCCCTGGGGACAGTCAGCTCCAGGGCACAGCAGAGCTGCTCTGGACAAGGAAGGAGCACGTGGCCACGTGTCCTGGCTGAGGGACACTGCAGGGCCACAGGGGAAGGGGACAGATTGCTGTGCAGGGCTGCAAAGCTCGGGTTGGGTCACCTGGAACTCGTGTTAGCCACAGGGTGTTGGTGTCTGGGGAGCAGCCTGTGGTCCTGGGTGACACCTGTGGCATCAAAACTGCAGTGTGAGCTGGTGCTGCTGGTGTGGCTGGGGTTTGTGGCAGCCTGCACCCATGGCCTTGCCCTTCCTGACCTGTTGTGCTCCTGCTGCCCTCTCCAGTACACCTTGGCCGTGGCAGAGTTGCCCTCCCATGGTTTCCTTTGGGGTCACTGAGAAGTGCAGGGAAGGGGCTGCACTGATGGTGAACAGTTTGGGGGGATTCTCTTTAACTGCTTTGCAACTGAGCCACCCAGGAATGATTTTTGTGGCAGATCTGGCTGCCTTTGGAAATTGGCAGTGACTGGAAGAGATCAGAGACCGTATGGGAGAGGAGGCAGCAGTGACAGCTGAGGGAAAGGAGGAGGATGGTTTCTCTTTCTGGTGGGCCAGGAGCCATAACCATGAGGTGACAGGACATTAACAAGCCACACATGCCCTGAAACAGTCCTGAACCTGTAACAGCTTCAGCTTGGAGGATGCACTAACACATCTGCTCATGTTGGGATGAGCTCATTTGCAGTGAGGTGTTTAAACAGTTCTGACCTTTTTGCTGATGGCATGCCCACAGTTGTGGTGTACTAAAAGCAGGTCTGGTGATGGTTGAGATGGGAGGATGTGCTCTGTGTACCTCCTGTGGGTTGACCATTTGTTGATGAGGATTTTTCTGTGAACTAGATGGAGGAGCCTTTAGCATTTAACTGAAAACCTGACCCAGCTTAGCTATTTTTGGAACTAGGATCTTGCTCCTTTGAAGCTGTGCATTGAGTACGTTGTAATGTCAAACAGCACGTGAGGCCAGGGGCTCTGGTCACTACCTTTCTAGGAATCCTGAACTTGTCATGTCATCAACCTTTTCCACCCCTGTCCAGTTTTTTAACTTGATTTAGTAATTTAAGTTGCCTGATTCCCTTTGCTTGGCTTTCTTTGTGCTGGCCCTTCTGTGGATGTAGATTGTTCATGCAATTCCCTTTTTCCCTGTCATGTGCTAAGTGTGTTTTATTTAAAGATAGAACCCCCAGCTCTGGCAGCAAAGCTGGAACACTGTGCCTGGATGCATTCCTTGTGCTCATCAGTGCCTGTCCCCTGCTCAGAGTGACCCAGAGGAGGAATGTGATCCCTGGATTTTGGAACCTCTCTTGTCACTGTGCAGTGGCTGGCTTACACATCCCCATGGCTCAAAGCCCAGCCTCCATGGACCTGCAGAGTGGGATGGAGCTGATCCTGGCAAGTGCTGCAGACCTGATTACTGTGCTTCAAACACCCAGCTCGTCCTGTGGCAGGATGTGCTGCTGCATTTCTGTCATAGGAAGGCAGGAGGGATTTTTTAATTAGTTATTACCATGTTATCCCAATGCTTCCAACTAAGCTGCATCCCAAAGTGTCCTCAGACTCTTCTGTTCAGTCTGCATCCATCAAATGATGTGGGAAAACCAGCAGGGCTAAGCTGGATATGATCTTGTGTCCTTAGTGGGTGCAGCAGACTGTTCCCTGTCCATGCCTCTGGAGAAGACAGAACCTCAGAAAACTTCTCATCCTGCTGCTTGGCAGCAATGATGTGGGAAAACCAGCAGGGCTAAGCTGGATATGATCTTGTGTCCTTAGTGGGTGCAGCAGACTGTTCCCTGTCCATGCCTCTAGAGAAGACAGAACCTCAGAAAAGTCTTCTCATCCTGCTGCTTGGCAGCTGTGCCTGGCTCTGGTTTTTACTGCCTTGGTCATCTCCAGCAGCAAAACCTCTCTGGAGCTGCTCCTGTTGCCAGTTCTGATGCACAGGAGGAGATGGGGTCCCGAGGGAGGCTGTGCCCAGTGCCAGGGGCATTTCTTTGTGCCTGAGCAGCTCCTTCTGGGAGCAGCAAGGCAGCAGCCCCGGGGCCGTGGGAGGTGGCGGAACTGCTCGCAGCAGTGAATGGAGTGAATGTGTCACCTTGCTCTGAAGAGCCCGGACTGCAAACCACCTCTGAATGTGCTCAGCACTCCCATTCCAGGGGGAGGAGCCCGTGGCTAAGGCTCCAGGCGTGCCAGTGCGTCCAGGCAGAGCTTGGAAGTCACCTCCTGGGAGAGTGAAAGCCTGCAGGTGTATCTGAGTGGCAGGAAGGCTGTCCCCATTAAATACAGAACCTCAGAAAAGTCTTCTCATCCTTGCAGCATCAGGGAAGTCTCCCTCCCTCTCCTACAGCTGCAGTGGAGTTTCATCCCCACAGTTCCTGCTTCCTTCCATTCCATGGCTTGGAGCAAAAGCTGCAGATCTCGGTTGTTGGGGTTTGGCAAATGTGGTTTCTTACAGGGAATGCACAGGGACAAGAGCATTGAGGGTGTCTGGAAGGTTAACAGCAGGACAGATCCTGCTGTGCAGCTCTCGGGAGGCATGGAGAGCAAGCCCTGTGTGAGTGACTGCACTTGGAGCTCTGGGAGGGATCCCTGCAGCCTGTCCTCGCTGCCCCTCCCTCACCTGGAAGTGTGTGTGACTAGGTCCATGCTAACGCTATCTGTACTCTTGTATTGTGTTGCAATTTGATCACCATTAAATAATTCCCTTCAACTCTCTGGCTTGATTGCTTTTTTGGTTTTTTTTTCCCTTTACCTGTGCCTTTTGCCCATCTATTTTGGCTCACGTTGCTTGCTTTCCTCTTGTGGCTGCTCTGTCCCTTCTCCCTGAGGCTCCAGTCTTGCCCTGTCCCTCTCTCAACGATGTCCAGTCACCTTCATGTTGTTTTTTAAGCTTCCAGCAAAGCCTGGCTTGCTCTGGCCACAGGCAGGGCTTTCTGGGTGAGCTGCAGTGGCCTTGGGGCTTGTTTGTCTGTCTTCATGCAGAAATCCCTGTGCTCTCACCAAGCCCAACACTGTCCCCTTCCTTTTTGGAAGTTGTGACCTGACAGAAAGTTTGTCGGTGCTCTGATTTCATCATGAGCTTGATCCAGTCCTTGATCCAGTGGGGTCACTTGAGAAAAGCTGGGATCAGCTCTGGAGCCAGAGCACAATGCACGTGGGGTGCTGGGGAAGCTGGAGCTGCTGCTTCCCACAGCCCGTGGCTTTCTCTAACCTGGATTTGGCACCTGGATTTGGTTCTATTTTATTGTGTTTCTGCCTCTCTGCGCCCACCCCCTCCTTCCCTGGGTGAGAAGATTTAGTTTTTATTGTTGTCTAGTCAGGTGAAACCACCTCGGGGCGAGTGGGGGTTGCGTGTGTTTACCATTCTCCTCCTTTCCTGAGCAAATCTGTTTGTTGCTCAACTCTAAACATTTCTTTGGATTGGAAGAGCAGGTTGTTGGGGTATAGATAAAAACGGCATTTTGAATAAGAAGTGAATTGGTGTCCTGAAGCCACAAGCACCATACCCAAGCTTTTCTCTGCCCAGTGCCTGTGGTCCCTGTGTGCACTGAAGCTGCAGGTCCTGCCCTCGCCCAGCCCCAGCTGCTGGAGGTGGCTGGGGTGGCACATCCTGCCCTGCTGCTGGCACTGGGGGAGGCATCTGAGCTGGCCAGCCTGGGAGAAGGGAACAAGCTGGCCTTGGGCCACCACAGCAGGGAGCAAGTGCCAGTGGTGGCAGTGTTCTGAAGGGGGGAGCATTAATTCCTTGTTCTGCTGGAGCAAAGGTAGCCATGGAGTGCCTGCTGCAGAGCTCTCTGCTGCCGTAAGCAGAACTGGTGTTTTGTGTCTAAACCCTCTCTGCTCCCCTGAGGAGCCCGAGGCAGTTGTGCTGTTTGGGAGGTTTGATTCTCCCTGCCTTGTGGCTATTCTTGGGTCAGTGTTTAGCAAGGTTTATTGAGACAACCTGCCCTGCAGCTCGGGCTGGTGATTATTTCTGTGCCCCTGCCCTGGAGCTCCAGAGTCTGCAGTGCTGCTGCCTGGGGCTCTCTGGGAGGTCTGTGCAAGGCCAGCTCAGCGTGGGGAGCAGGAATTCTGCAGGGCACCAGGCAGACAGAGTCGTTTGGGTTGGAAAACCCCACAAGAACGAGTCCAACAGTGCTGCCAAGGCCACCACTAATCCATGTCCCAAAGTGCCACATCCACAGATGTTTTTTAAGACCTCCATGGATGGTGACTCCACCACATCGCTGGGCAGTGTGTGCCAATGCCCAACCACCTTTCAGTGAATATCTTTCCTCTAATTTCCAACCTAAACCTCCCCTGACACAACTTAAGGCTGTTTCCTCTTGTCCTGTTACTTGGGAGAAGAGGCTGACCCCCACATGGTTCAAACCTCGGTGTCAGCAGAGCTCCAGAAAGGATCACGGTACTTAAAACCCACCCTTGGCTGTCACCTGCACACAGCAGGATTGATGTCCCAACATTCCTGATCCCCTGATTAACCCTGTGCATGGCTTCCCTGATTTGTCCCCTCTTTTTTTATCCCCATTGCTTGACACTGTGTGGGATAAAGCTCTGATTTTCAGGAAACAAGCAGAATGGAGCAGTGGGTGAGCACGGGTGAGTGGGGTGACATGGGACAGTGAGGTGGCAGCAGCTCCTGGATGTTCTTGTGTCCAAGCAGGTGCATGTGGGGACTCACCTGCAGAGATAAAGGTGTGTGTGAGACAAAGCCCAGCCGTGGCACCTTGGGCCAGGTGAGCTTCAGCTGCATGTTGATCCAGTTGAGCCAGAGATGGGATTGACCCTGCTGGAATTACCACTTCCATAAAGCTCCGTGGGAGTTTGCCCCTGCTGGAACCCTGAGTACCAACATAAAGCACTCACTGTTCCAGCTGGTGATGCTTTCTCGGAAAACGCTGATGGAAAAGCTGTAGGAACTTCTCCAGATCCACGCTGGACACTTCATGGGAGGATGGGTTTTTATCATGTAGGTTTTATTTGGCTTGTTGTGGGGTAACTCTTGAAATCAGAGAATCATATGGGTTGGAAAATACCTCAGAGATCATCGAGTGCAAGTGCTGCAGTCTGAGCTGACACAGGACAGGTAAGCACAGGCTCTGTATTTAAATGCTGAAATCTTCCCTTATGTCAAATCCTGCCTTGTAACTCCACTCAAAAATGCTGCATTGATCTCTGTAAGGCACCCACCAGGAGAGCCCAAGTCCTTGGCCAGGGGCTTTTTGGAAAGGGGTGATGGCACGGCCCCAGCCCAGCCCCAGGGAGGAGCAGATGGGGCAGAACCGGGAGCACCTCCCAGGGGCAGTGCCTGGAGCCTGTGCTGAGGGAATGGCACGGGATGAGCCCCAGGAAAGTGCTGGTGAGGCCCTTTTGGTACAAAACTAAAGAGGCTTTGCAGTGGGATGGAACCTCCCCTGCTCTGAGTCCTCCCATGCATCCTGTGCCCTGGGGGGGTGACTTGCATCTCCATGACCTGAATGAAAATTCCTACTGTTCAGCCCATTCCTGTTTTCCTGTTGTTTTCCCTGTTTCTCCTGGCAGAGCTGTCTCTCTGCCAGGCCATGTCTGTCCCAGCCTTGCCTGAGCTGCATCAGCAGCATTTGAGCACTGAATGCTCTTGGTTAAGCCCTTGGCTGTGTAGCCACTGTAAACTACTGGGTGTTTACAGGTTTGGGGTTTTTTCCTAGCTCTGCCTTCCAGGCTGTGCCATTCCCTTTGGTTGCAGGGATTTTTTTTGTGGAAGAGGAACTGGAGCTGGTGCTGAGCCCCAGAGCCCCCAAACCTCTCAGTGTCAATAAGGGATCTGCTGATCCTTTCCTCGAGCCAAGCCTGCCCCTGAAGTGAAACCACCAGATCCAGAGACTCTTTCCAAAGAGAATCCATGCCTCCTGCCTTTGGGGACTGCTGGAAGCTCCAGGACTTCTCCAGGGAGCAGGAAGGATGGAACCATGGCAAGGCCAGGGTCTGAGACAGAGCTGCTGGGAGAGCTGGGGCTGGGATCCCACCAGCCATGGTCCTGTGCTGGCCCTGGAGCTCACAGCCCCCTCCAGCTCCCTCAGACCCCTGTGTCCTGGTTGTGACTTTTTCCAGGAGGAGGAGGAGGAGGGATGCTGGGGGATCTGATTTCAGGAGCTGCCTGCAGCAGGCAGGGCAGGGCAGGGATGCTGCTCCAAGCAGGGATGTGGCACCCTGGGCACTGCTGTACCTTCACCAAGGGCTGTGGGGAGGCTGCGAGGGCCCCTGGAGTGCTGGGGGGTCACAGGGCAGAAGTTCCCCCTGAAACAAGGATGTGGGAATTGCAGTCACAGACTGGTTTGAGCTGGAAGGGACCTGGAAACTCCTCGTGGAAGGGTGAGCTGGGCTGGCCAGGGGAGAGGCAGCTGGGCCTCCGTGGGGTAGCGTTTGTCATCCAGGTGTGGTTTGTCAGGACAGCTTTGGGCTTTCCAGGGGGAGTGGAGCTGGGCACAAGGAGAATCCCCAGCCGGGAGCAGGGGAAGGTGAGGACAAGCGGGAGGGGGCTGAGGGACAGCGGGGTCTCCTCTATCCCTTCCTTCGGTATGGGTGAAAAACTACAGCTGAAAAGAGGAAATACCCCCCAGAAGGGCTCGAATTAGGAAACAGCCGCAGACAGGGGGTCCCTGCTCCCGCTCCGCTCCCGCGGCCGGGCGAGGGCAGCAGAGGCCGGGAAGCGGCGGGGCCGGGCTGGGATGCCCCGTTCCCCGCACCCTGCCCGGCCAGCGGGGCACGGCACCGCCAGCACCCCCCTTCAGGAACCTGCTCTCATTAGCAGCAATAAAAGTAGCTGTTATTTCTATTTTTTATTTGTTGTCGTTGAAAGCCCGTGAATCGCGAGTAGAGCAGATGTGCTCCTCGACACTCCAGCCCCAAGTCCTCTCCCAAGTGTCTCCTGCAGACACAAAGGGCTTGTCCTGCTGCCGTGTCTGCTCAGCATCCTCTGGGAAACCCACGGAGCGGGACAGGGCAGGCTGGGGCTGCCTCCAGGCAGGGGACATGGACATCACCTTATTGCTGTCCCCTCCTGTGCACTCATGGGAGATGCTGGGCCTGCCCTCACCCCTGTCGGGCAGGGGCACCCACACCTGGCCACCCCCTCGCACCTGCGGCCATCCCTGGTGCCAGCCACCCCCCGGAGGAGGCAGCTCGGGGCCGCACGGTGCCAGGCTGGGGCTCAGCCCCGGGACCCTGGCACGGCCCCGAGGAGCTCGGGGCACCAGGGGAGTCCCTGGCTGTCCCCATGCCCCCAGCCGGGCCCATCCCAGCCCAGCTGCCTCTGCCGGCCTGGCTCGCTCCGTGCCGTGCCCTGCCATCTTGCGCCTGTGAATAATTCACCGTCCCTGTCCCCGCTGTTTCCTTGCAGGTATTTATAGCCCGCGATCGCGTCTCCTTGGAGGCAGCTCGCTCCGCCGCCGTGTAAATTTAGCTCCCGTCGTCTCTCACATGTCGTGCCCTCCAGCCCGTGCGGGAGCCCTCCCATGCGGGCCCGGAGCCCGCACGTCTCCCTCCCCACGGCTGGGCAGCGCTGCTGGCCGTGCCGGGCCGTGCCGTGCCCGCTGTGCCCATGCCATGCCGTGCCGTGCCGTGCCCGCTGTGCCCGTGCCGGGCCGTGCCGTGCCCGCTGTGCCCGGAGGCCGGGCCAGCTCAGCTTCCCTCCGGCAGCTGCGCGGGGCTGCCGAG